ATATATATATATGTTCTACAGTACTTCACCTACACCCCATTACCGTCCAAATTTCATTACACGGTCACAGTTTTCCGTAGTATTTGAATTTTTATAATTTTTTACTAATCAAATTTATCTAAAATTTGGGGCATGTGTATATCTGACAAAGTCGCACCAAAATAAAATATTAAAAAATAATAGTCATAAAATAAAATAACAAAATTACCTCTAAAACGTTATAGTGGTATTTTACGTAATGTTTATCATTCAAATTATTTGTTTTATATTTTATTCATGTGCATCTCACTAAGGCACACACACCTACAAAATTTTAGATCATTATGATTTGTAAAACAAATATTAAAATTTAAATATTATTAGACATTTGTGACCGTGTGATGACGTTGAACGATGATAAAGCTATAGAACTTCACCTATAGGCATTTTGTAGTGTTATATATATATATATATATATATATATATATATATTGTATCAACGACGGTCTAGTACTTTCTAAATACTTTGATAAGACAACTCAAATGATTACTTGGACTGCATGGGTATGGATATTTGTCCATGATGGAGGATTCTTTTATGGTTAAAGGACTAAGCCAAGCAGTTATACTTGGAGTCCAATTTCTAACACTTCTATATCTCAATTAGATATAAAAGGAATTCCTTCTCCCAAAATCAATATTCCTTTCCCAACGATTCCTAATCCATTACCAGAATCTTCTGATAAAGGAAAGTCCAAAATACCAGAGCATGAAACAATGATGCTCCAAGAAGAAATAGAACCAATCATAGAGGATACTATCCAAAACCAAGAAAATGCTTTCATGGATACTACACCTATTGATATAAACCAAATAGCTTATGGGAAAAATTGGAAACCCATTACAGCTTTACCATATTATAAAAGACCCACAGCTGTTGACGTCCAACTTAAAGAAGATGCTATACAACAAGTTGTGTCATATTCAGGAAGATCAATAGTCAATTGGACAATAGATGGTCTATCGGAATTAAAAATATTAGATGTCATGAGACACATGACAATGTTTGCTTCTGCAAACAAAATGGCAGGCAACCCAGACCAAGAAGTTGCCAAAGTAATAGTCAATGGATTCACTGGCTGGTTAAGAGGATGGTGGGATTTCTATGTAGATGATGAAACCAAGAATAGAATCCTTACCAATACAAGACAATGGACCGCCAGGAATGAACGGAATCAAGAAATCATTTATACTGAAAGTGATGCAGTCAACACCTTAATATATACCATTACACTTCATTTTGTAGGAAGTTCAGCATTATTAGCAGCAAGATCAGAAGATCTGCTCTCTAATTTGCGTTGTCATACATTATCTCATTACAAATGGTATAAGGATGTATTTTTCTCACGATTATTAATAAGAGAAGATTGTCAATTAGACCACTGGAAAGAAAAATTTATAGCTGGTCTACCTTATTTATTTACAGAAAACCCTAAAAAAGAAAATAGAATCATTACATTTAGATGAAACAGTTAAATCAAAATTATATAATATAATTAATTATGATTCTACATCTTCTAATTCTACTAATTCACATATAGAAAATATTCAGGATGATGATCTTTTATGGACTGAATCATCTGATTCTTCTAATTCTTCATCAGATACAGACTCATCCAATTCAATGAATGATAATAATTGTAGTTGTCCCATACCTACACATAATCTTCATACTCTTACTCAAGAAGATAATCTCATCTTATATATTATCGACAAAATTACAGATCCAGAAGAAAAAAGATCTGTAATCACTAAATTTATTACATTAACTAAAAGCAAAGCAAAAAATGGGACTCCAAGTATAACTGCTTGGCTTAGTCCTTTAACCATAATAAATGGTGTATTAATACATTGGTGGTTATTACAGACAAAAGCATTAGATAATTTATTTATATATATATATATATATATAAGGTATTTGGAAGGACTAAGCCAGAACTAATACCTTCTTGGAACCGATTCAATCTCGACGTGATGTGAATAGGTGGATCTAAACATTTGTATGAGCAAACCATATTGGTGACTAGTTGCTTTGACTTATTTTTATTCATACTTGGTTATTTTTTTGGGAAAATTATAAAGAAACCCTAAAACTACACTTTATATGCAACTTACCCCTAGGCCAACTTTTTCTCGCCCTTTTTTACCCAAAATATACTTTCTATGCAAACCCCCCAGCCAAATAAAAACTAAAAAAATACCTAAACTACCCTCACTTACTTTTACCTTACCCATGCCTCTCCCACCAAAATAGGGTATTACGTCACCGTGTAAGTGCAGTCTAGCAGTAAGGCTCTGGCACTGTGTAAAGTGCGATCTAGCAGTAGGAGTCCGACACTGTGTAAGGTGCGATCCGAAAGTTACAAAAGGTGGTCCAGCAGTTGCAAAGGGCGGTCCGACAGTTGCAAAGATAGTCTGGCACTTGTGCGCTCCGGCAATGTGATGGTGAACTCCGGCAATCTGCTACTAGGGTCCAAAAGTCAATGTCAAATCTATCCAAAAATATTTTTGTATATGGGACAGACATTTCCGTATAGAAAAAATGAACTTTTTACTTTGGGGGGTATTTGCATAAAAAGCTTGTGTTTGGAAAAAAATTGAGAGAAACAGTTAGGTTAGGGTAAGTTGTATAGAAAATGTAGTCTTGGGGATTTTTTGCTATTTTCCCTACTTTCTTTTTTACAAGACTAGTCAACGCATTGATTGGCAACCAAACCAATTGGATGGGGCAGTCATGTCTGCCTTGATTAGTATGATTATCACTCCTCATGTTGATATGTATTTTGTGACTAAAAATTCATCGAGTTGACCCAGTATCGCAGGTGTCGACTCCGGGCCTGCTTTCGCTGTAACTTGGAAGTTTTGCCCGTTAT